CTATACCTATTTGTAAGCATATCTGTGGGATGAATTTCCTGAAGTGGAATGCCAGCTCAAAGGGAAAATGGAGGACACAGGTGCACTTACGTACCTGCAGACAATACAGTCATACACATAAAATAAAAATAAATGAAGGAGCTGGACAGATGGCTCAGCGGTTAGGAGCACTGGTAGTGCTTGCAAAGGACCCTTGCTTGATTCCCAGCACCCACATGGAGGCTAACAACCCTCTGGAACTTGAATTCCAGGGGTATTTGATACCCTCTTCTGCCTTCAGTGGGTACTGCACGACACAAGTGCACTCACACACATGTAGACAATATACTCATGTACATAAAGTAAAAGCAATAAAATATTTAAAAATAATAATATTTTTAAAAACCAGATGAATACTACTATGTCCAGCTTTTATGTGGGTGCTGGAGATCCAAACATGGATCTTCATGCCTGTGCAGCAAGCACTTTACCCATTGAGCCATCTCCTCAGACCCCCTCTTTTTTATTTTGGGGCAGGGTCTCACTCAGTTGCCCACACTTGTTTCAAATGTATCTAAAGCCCAGACTGACCTTGAACTTGTGGTCCTCCTGCCTCAGCTTCCCAAGTAGATCATAAGGCTTGAATCATTGGTCCAGTTATTTCATTTTATTTTTAATTACAACCAAAATGTTGTTTATTCATAAACCTAATCTGATGGTGCACATCTGTAATTCCAGCACAAAGGAAGTAGAAGTGTTGCCAAATTTCCCTTCAAAGAGTTACAGCAAGTTACATTCCCAAAGCAGTGGGTGGAAAGGAAGATCACAAGTTCAAGGTCATCCTCAGCTATATATCCAGCTCAAGACTCTGTTTCAAGAAAATTTATGTATTTGTTATGCTTGGCAGTGCATGTCAGTAAGTTCTGTTCATGAATTTTATTTTATAAGAGAAAAGAAGCAGATTGGGGAGATAGCTCTGTCTATAAAGGATTTGCTCTATAAGCACAAGGATCTGAGTTCAGTTCCCAAAACCCAGGGTAAAAAAAAAAGAAGCCGGCCAGGTGTGGTGGCGCACGCCTTTAATCCCAGCACTCGGGAGGCAGAGGCAGACAGATCTCTGTGAGTTCAAGGCCAGCCTGGTCTACATAGTGAGTTCCAGGACAGCTCCAGGACCCTGTCTCAAAAATACCGCCCCCCCCCGCCCAAAAAAAGCCATGTGGTAACACAAGCTTGTACTCTCACTCTCATTGTTGGGGCGGTAGAGACAGGAGGATCTCTGAGGCTCACTGGCCAGCCAGCCTAACCTGTTTGACAGGCTCCAGGACAGTGAGAGATCCTGTCTCAGAAAACAAGGTGGAAGATCATCCGAGAATGACACCTGAGGTGCAACACAACATACACGAAAAGGACCACAGCTACGGTTAAATCTGTAGGGCTTTGACCCACAGTCTTACCACATGATATTCTCATCGGCTGCAAGTCCTGGATTGAAGGAAAAGAAAAAACTGGGGAGAGGAGGAGAAAGCAGAGGGATTCCCATGTACCATTCCATTCATTATTCACTACTAGCATGTGCCAGACACCATGCTACATGCTGAACCTCTGTATGTCAGGCTCATGCGGTAACAAACTTTGAGCCACACTGGCTCAGAACTTCACCCATAAGTCACTAGCTATGCAAGCTTTGGTAGGTTACCTCACCACTCTCAAACCTTGGAATACATCATCCTCACGTTCTGCCTGTCTGTGATTTAAAGCCCAACATGGTACATGTTTATTGCCATTTTGCTCTATACTCTTGAAGCTCCTTCCCCTCTCTGTCTAAAACCTCTTGATAGATAGTACTGTGCTTGTCCTCCAGCAGTGGACTATAGCTGAAGAAAGCCCTCATATATGGAGGAGTCTCACCCTGCTTACAGGATGACTGGTCTCAGTGGACGTAAGAACCAGCAGTCACATTTGGACTCCCTGTGTCGATCATCCTCCCGAGGGATTGCTCCCTGCTTCTAAAACCTCCATCATCGTTTTCCCATTCTTATGATCAGCTGAAGATCTAGCTTCCTGATTCTCAGGGGAAACTGTCACAGTGAGAAGGCATTTCCACAAGCTTCCTGCCCCAATAAGATGCCTGCCCTTCTGTGGTGGTGGTGAACTCCAGGACTCCCAGCCAAAGTATCCCAGTGGATACCACTGTCTAGCCCCTCCCTGCAGGGGCATCATTCCAGGCCCACTCCTTCCTCTTGTATTCATTTTCCAATCTGCTGAACCATTCTCTTCAGAATAAAGTATACAAGTATTTCTTTTCTTTCTTTCTTTCTTTCTTTCTTTCTTTCTTTTTTTTTTTTTTTTTGGTGTTTTTGAGACAGGATCTCCCTGTAGCCCCAGCTGGCCAGGAATTCACTATGTAGACCAGGCTGGCCTACAACTCACAGAGATTCACCTGCCTCTGCCTCCCAAGTGCTGGGACTAAAGGCATATGCCACGATGCCTGGCATAAGTGCACTAATATTTCTTAGCTGAGAGAATTACTTTAGCCCTACTCTGTCCTCCCTCTGCTACCCAATCCTCAGAAGGTTATCTGTACTTGAGGCTTTATTGTCTCCATGTCCTCTCCTTCCATTCTCTTTGGAGATCTTAATTTTTATAAAATGTTATTTAGGAAAACTATAAAATAGGGGTTGGGACTATAGCTCAATTGGTGAAGTGCTTGCCTATCATTCATGAAGCCCTGGGTTCAATCCCCAGATCACATAAACCAGGCATGCTAGCACGCGCCTATAATCCTAGCACTCAGGAAGTTCAAGGTGTCCCTCAGCTGTATAGAGTTTGAGGCCAGCCCAGATTACTGTCCATCACTGTGGGGAAGTCAGAGCAGTAGGAGCTTGAGATAGCAAGTCACGTCACACGTACAGCCAAGAAGCAGAGAACAACAAATATTTGTATCACACTTATTTCAAAAATACTCTTCTGGGTCAGGCATGGTGGCGCACGCCTTTAATCCCAGCACTCCAGAGGCAGAGGCAGGTGGATCTCTGTGAGATGGAGGCCAACCTGGTCTACATAGTGAGTTCCAGGATAGCTGGGGCTACAGGGAGACACTGTCTTGAAACAACAACAAACAAAACCTTCTGGGGGCCGGCAAGATGGCTCAGCAGGTAAAGTACTTGCCCTGAAGCCTGGCAACCTGAATTTGTTCCCCCTGAGTCCACATAAAAGTGGAAGGAAAGAAACAACTCCACAGAGTTATCCTTTAACTTTCACACATTGTGGCACATGTGTATCTGCAGTTCACACACACACACATACACACACACACATAAATAAAAATTTTAAATATTAAAAATTCATAATTATTTCTTGTGAGTGTCCTCATGCACATACATGCTGCAGCATGTGTGTGGAGGTCAGAAGATAATGTGTGGGGTTTGGTTTTCTCCTTTGACCACATGGGTCCTGGGGAACGAAACAATTGGCAACAAGTGCCTTTTTCCTGAGCCCTCTCGCTGGCCCCATACTCGATTTTTCTACATTGGTTCTGTACGTAATTGCTGCCTGTTCCCTAGTAGCACCTCACCCAGTTCCTAGAGTGTACTTGCTGGCACAGGTACTGTTCTTGAATTTGTTGAACAGGCGGCTTTTCAGTTGTCTTTCTTTAATCGAGGGTGTTGATGAGTCTTTGAGCAATAAACAAACAAATGGCAACTGTCCTTGAAGTGTCCTGCTGAATGAAGCAGGAACTTGAGCTGGCTGCAGTCCTGATGACTTCCTATCCAATGAGTACAGAGCTCTAAAATTCCTCTTATTCCAACTTTAAGTCCTCCTCATCATACAAGGGCGGTATGTGTGTTCTGAGAACATGTTACACAATCCTAGTGATAGTATTTGTGGTTATTTAGAAGAGGGAAATATAACTAAATCTTCCCTTTATCCCAATTAGTTTAAATTTACTTAATCTCCCTACTAACTAATAAAATATTAATAACAACACACACAAACATACTTTGGCTTGTTTGTGCCTTAAGAAGTATTTTAGCAGGTAGCTGGGCATGGTAGGGTATGCCCTTAACTCCAGCCCTCGGGAGGCAGAGGCAGGCAGATCTCTGAGATCAAGGCCAGTCTGGTCTACATAGTGTGTTTCCAGGTCAGCTGGGGCTTCAGGGAGACCCTGTCTCAAAAAAAGTTAAAAAAAAAAAAAATTAGGAAGTATTTCTACAGGTGCCATCCTATCACTCATAAAGAAAACTATGAAGCCAGGTGTATCAGCTCACATCTGTAATCCCAGCACTTGGAAGGTCAGGATCCAAAGGATCAGGAGTTCAAGATCAGCCTTAGCTACAGAAGAAGTGTAAGGCCG